TTAGCTAATCATTCATTTAGTTTCATTTCAGTCATTTGCTGATATATATTCAGTGCTATGCAATATAGGGCAGACAGAACTATCTTAGAATTATGGAGCTGTGCTTCAGAATGTTATAGGCCAATTCTAATCCCTTTCCCATCATTTGAGGAATCAACATTAAATCCCATTCTTTCATTCTACCAAATGGAGACAGTTAACATCTATCTACTCTCCCCTGTCTCATAATTTCATAAATGAAGGGACATTTTTGTATCAAAACAGTGGGAAAGACAAAAAAAAATCTATTAAAGTGAATATCTACGTTCATGAAAGTCCCTATACTTCTTTATTTTTCTCATTTTTTAGTGGACCATAAAAAATTTCTCCATAGACTAGTACCGATTCAGACCAAATCATCAATTTGCAAATGAGAATGCTAAGGTAGAGTGATTTGCCAAAAGCAGTACATCAACTGCAGAGTTGGCAGTAGAATTCAAGTCTCCTAACTCTCAAATTCGTGTTTTCTACATCACCCTGTTTATTTGTAAAATGTACAACTTTTGTTCTTAAAAAGCTCAAAATATCAAGGGGAAGATTGGACAAGCATGCCAGAGTTACAACATGATGAGGTCATGAGAGAGGTGCAGAGCCCTAACAGTTCTAACTGGGGAGAGCTCATTTGCAGCTGAAAATGTGAAATAAAGTGGTAGGGGATGGTATTTTCACCGAATTTTTGAAAAGTACAAAAAAATCAAGACAGATAAAAATGAAAGGAAAGGGCATTCCTGGAAAAGAAAACAGAACATAGAGAGGCAAGGAGGCTACAAAGTTCAGGCAATAGTAAAAATCTAACCAGATGGCGACACTCTTGGGGATGTGTGATGAGGAATAACAGAAATTGAGCCTAGAAATGTAGTTGGTGATTAGCCACAGAGGAAATTATTGGAAAAACTCGGGGTTGAGGACTTGACTCCCCAGGTGCTGAGGAGTCATTGACAATTTTTGGCATAGAAATGGTGCATATCACTGTGCTTCACAATGATGTATAGGATGGCTTGTGACACATTAAGCTTGCAGTCCAGGTGACCTAATTGGAAGCTATCATAAGAACCCAAGGTGGGGGTAGGCAGAAACAAAACAAGGGCAAAACCAATCAGATTAGAAAGAAGAATGTATTCTATCAGTAGAAGCAAAAGACATTAGTGGCAGACTGAATGTCTTAACAGCCAGGTGTTCAACTTGGGTGACAAGATGGGAGTCAATAGGAACACAGAGTCTAACAATGGGAGGCTCACACCCGTAATCTCAACACTTTGGGAGGTTAAGGTGAGAGAATCGCTGGAGCCCCGGAGTTCAAGACTAGCCTGGGCAACAAAGCGAGACCCCATCTCTACAAAAAAATTAAAATAATTAGATGGGCATGGTGATACCTGCCCTGTGGTCCCAGCTACACAGAAAGCTGCTGCAACAGGATGGCTTGATCCCAGGAGGCCAGGGCTGCAGTTAGCCATGTTGACACCACTGCACTCCAGCCTGGGTGACAGAGCAAGGCCCTGTCCCAAAAAACAAACAAACAAAAAACAAAAACAACAGGAGAATTGAAAAGAGTCACAAATAAATAGTAAGTTGGGGAATATTTTGTGTACAAAACACCATGTTCATACCCCTCAAATGTAGACTTACTAAAAATGTATTGGTCTAGAATATCTGGTGAATAAAAAAAACATTTTCGGACATGAGCCTCTGATAATTTTCAGTAGTTGAAAATCCTGGTGATTGTCTTGGTTTATAACAATTGCTCCCAATCCTCATTAAAAATCATGCAGAAAAAAAGAGGGCTAAATTAGAATTTCACAGCTATCGGGGACCTTGTAAGTAAAGCATAGGCCAACTCCTCGTTTTCTAGAAGAAGAAAGTAAAGCACAATTATTGTAAAAAACACAACTTGCTCAGAGCAACATGTGTAGCCAGTAGAGAATTTAAGACCAAAACCCAGGTCTCTAAATGTCTGGCCCATTGCTATCTGTGGAGCAGGACACTGCTTTTCCTTAGAAAGTCTGGGCAGTGTTCCATTTCCGTTACACTCCTTCTACTGTCTTTTCTTCAGTGTTTCCCCAAACGAGTTCCTGAGAACATTAACAACCTACCACTAAATTTTTTCCTCTTTACTCTCTCATAGCCCTCCTAACCATGTCCTTAAAAAGAAATAGATGAAGTAAATAATTTTGTCATATTGATTGTTCTCATTCCAGAATGTCAAGAAGAATAAAAACACAGTAATAGGTGAAAATAGCTCACAAAAGAGAACAATTTATGCTACATGGCATCTTCAGAACAAGTCTGAAAAGTATAGCTAGGTAACAGCTCTGACCTATAGGGTGCAAACCTCAGGATTCCTGGGGGAAAGGCCCAAGGTTATTTTGTATTACTAGATTATTACTGTATTATATCATATCTACGCAGCCAAAAAGAACATTAAATAATCATGCTTGTTGATTTATCCAGGGATTAGGGGCTTGTTAAACAGGCAAAAGCTGTCATCTTGATCCCAAAATGGACAGCAATGAGTATGACTCATCTATTTTGAATGTCAGCACATCATGAATTTACCAATATGATATGACGACAGAGAGATCAAACTAGTTACCTATGGATTATAATTCCTTTGAGAGCCATTGCAGCTCCTCCAATTTCCAACAATGCACTTTTTTCCCTAATAAGCAATTTATTCTTTAAAATTGCTTCTATGCCCCACTTTTCATGCCTGTGCAAACCCAGCCACAGAGAAACGTAGGCTAACTACTGCTAACTAGATGCCAGGCTTGTGTCCATGAATTTATACATGTTCCCTCATTTAGTCCTCATAACTATGAGACAGGCACATTTTCAAGACCAGAAACACAAATTGAAAGGAATTAATGCCACATAGTGTCAGAGAAAAGATCAGAAATCAAACCAAGTTTATCTGCTGCCCAATTTTATGACCTTAACCATGATGTCCTGCTCCACTTCGGCCCAGATGTAAACAAAATATTTCTATGAGTAGAATGTACTCATATGCTAGAACACTGTCTGTGAAAGAAGGTGAAGGATGTGAAGGAGATGTCAGAAACCCATGCTTGGCCCTCTTTCATTGTCAAAGTGAGTTGTAGCTTTCTAGTTTCAACTTGGGTTACAATAATGGCTTTCCTGGCCTCTACAACTGATCTCAGTGAGGCAGTAGAATGCTCATTCTTCAGTGTTCTGCAAGGTAAATTCTGATGTTCAAATATTTATTGTCACATCACTGCCTTCATCAGAAACTATTTAAAATGGTGGCTGGAATATTCTTAGAAGAGTCTAATCAGTTATCCAAAGAACTCAGACTCTTACTTCCCTTCGTCTGAGCCAGAACTAATCCCAAAGTTCTGGTTGCTCCAAAGGCCATGTCTGTATTGATACTATTTCTTGTATCATAACTTGAAAAATCTTAATTATTACAGTTTTCTGTGTGGATCCTTTATGTCCTCTGCAATTTTACTACCTAAGGAGTTTGAGACAGTTTATTAGCTTTTAAATAGCACCCAAACCAAACTAAACTCTTCTATAGATCAAATGTGCTATCCAAAAGGAAAATCTGAAGTTGGAAACAATTTACAGCTGCAGAGAAAGTCTAACACTGTATACACTTTCTCATTTAGTGAACTAACGGCTGTTGTATGTCAAATTCCTCTGAAAGTAAATAATATCTAAGGAATCTTATCCAGAAGAACCACAATGAGTCCATACTTACATAATTCACCTTCAGCTGCTTGGCACATAATAAGCACTTCACAAGAAGAATAAATGAATGTTTTTCTATCCATTGCTTTCATTGTTAGAGCACAAAGCAGAGTATCCAATACAAAAGATATTGAGTATAATAGTGTACATTCACTTTGCTTCAGTAGGCCCCAAATTAAGCACATTTTCAAGCAAGATAAACAAACAAAACATGTCTTTGTTTTGAAAAAAGGTTCACTGCAGTATCTTTATAATTACATATTTTGATGAACAATTAAATCCAATCCAATTAACAAAAATGACATCCTCATGCAACTTTCAGGAAGTTACATAAAGTGAGACCACTTGTAAGTCCACCTAGCCACCTTGCTCAAAAAGAAAAATTTGGAAAGCCCACAATAATTTCAGACTTTACTTCTCCTCCCCCCTCCTCTATACATATTTTTCCTGTATTCTTCTGGCTAGTTCGTGTGTGTGTGTGTGTATGTGTGTGTCAACATCAGAAAAGTGTCAACTCTTCCAGGAAAACATTCTTTCTTCCACAAAGCAAGAAACATCTCTGTCATTGAACTATTTCATTGTACTATCATTATGTATTTATATGTCTTTCATCCAACTAAAATTCTTCTTTTCTTAAACAAACAAACAAAAAAGCATCTTAATCAACTCTATTTCTGTGCTAAACCTGGAACATAGTACGTTCTCAATAAATATTTATGGAATGAATGAATGTATTACGGATATAAAAACTTACAGATCTTAGGATGTGGCTGGTGGTCACACAGAAGTAAATTTAATCTGAAAGTGTAAGTGGAAGTGGTGGATCTTAAATAGACCCACAACAGCTTGATGACTTTGATGTAGCCTGGTGGAAGGATACACAGAAAACTGTAGATAAGAGAGAAGGCATGACTCAAACCTCAGTACTTGCAAAGGAATTCCAAATGACGAGGATCATTTGCTGGGATGTAGTAGAGATCATGAACACAGGTGCAAGTACAGAGAATAATATAAAAATAATTTAATAGGTTTGGTCCTCTTGGTCAAGATCTTGTCTCTGATCTAAACCTAGACCATGTAAGCTCTTACTAGGCACTACCATACTGTTATCACCAATGCCCTGTGTGTACTGCAGAACTGTTATATCTCATATTAACTCGTCAGTGCCATGCAGGACTAAGCACTTATTGCCAAAAGCATGAACAGACTCTTTTGAAAGGAGATGTAGCAGAAGGCTCTCAAGGGCCATCTCTTACCTGCTGGTTCTGATAGGCTGTAACTGTGGTGAACACAGTCTCAGGAAAGTTGAACGTTTTCACCCCATCCCCAACAGGAACAGGCTTAGTGGGTGAAAGGTCGCTGCTGAAGTCTTTGCGAATCACATGAACTCGAGGCTGGTATTTGTGCATAGAGTGCAAAATGATCTGAAATAAAAAGGCGAATTGTGCCAGGCTTGGCTTTAAAGAACCTACATTCTGCTCTCATGCAAACAAATCACTAAGTAGAAGCACTATAGAAGAAGCATAGATTGAAGGTGAGATGTACAGAAAGCTAGAAATCAGTATACTTGCCCAGGAAGGACTAAGTGATTAACTAGCATTACATGGAACCAAATAGCAGGACATCCTTATCATGGATGGTAGATGTAATATGTTTGCTTGAAATGGACAATGCTGAATGACTACTCTAGTACTAATGGACAACACTTCATTAAAAGGTCTCAGAACCGAACCTCTGCCATGTGACAAGTTGTCCCTCCAGCTTCAAATTTTCAGCATGTGTTCAAGCTGTCTTTTAAATTCTACATCCGATTATGCATTCATTATTAGATAGGTGAACATTATTTTATGTTACGTGAGAGTAAATGGTAGATATGGGTTTTCGCACCTTCAGAAAATTGTTGTTTCCTTGAAGGTGGAAGGAATAGTTTTAGCTAATTCAATTTTCCCATAGCACCCACTATGAGTCCTGCCACTCAGTTGAAATTCAGTATGTGTTTCACTGCCAAAGATAAATTAATAACATCACATGCTCTAATTATACCTGGAAAGTCTTAAGAGTTAGTCTCCCCTATAAATTCATAAATTCCTTGACAAATTAGCTGAAATTGTCATTCACTTTTTTCACTTGTTTTACTGCCTTGTGGGTTATTTGAATGTTGTGATTTCTTTTACCACCGGTTAATTTGTCGTGTTTCTCTGTCTTGCCTCCTCGACTGGACAGTAAGCCTCTGAAGTACAAGGACTTTATCTGATAAACACAACCTGATGCATAACAGATGTTTGCTAAATGTTAGATTTGTAATAAATGGAATTTAACTGGAAAAAAAACCACTTTTATGCTTACTTACTTAAAATGACTTAAAGTGGCATGGAAATTCTTATTTCACCTATTTGAAAAAGCCTGGGGCTAGCCAGCTCTAAGGCAAATCGGGGAAGAGAGAAAGAAAGGGGAGATGGGATTCCTTGACTCACATGTCCTTGATCATCCAATTCATTGTTGGTGAGCTTGAGTTTGTCGAAGCTGACCACCTGTCTCATCCAGGTGTCTCCAGAAGCTAGAGAATCAGGGTGTATATAAACTCTTGGGGGCACAGGGGAATCAGCATTGCCAGCCACCATCCACTTGGAGCTGTGATACACATATCTGAGATAAAGAGGAAGAGAGGGGAATTCAGAGACAGAGGCAGAGAAGAGACAGTGGCCCAGGAAATAAATTGAGACAAGGAAGAGGAGAGTAAAACAAAGAGATGACATGAATGGAGAAGTGATGGGAAAGAAACAGAGAATCAAAGGAGGAAGAGAGAAGGGTGGATAACCAAGAAATTGAAATAGAGACAGAAATGGACAAAAAGATGGAGTGGGAGAGCAGAGAAATATTGTGGTTAATGATCAAATCTACAGCCCTTGCAAGGAAAACATTCTCACAGTCCTCTTTCTTTCTTCCCTGTCTCCATGGCATGCACCCCTGTGCGCACACAGGCATCCTGAACTCACATGTCTAGCTATAGAAAAGGCATTTTACTGCAACCTTTCACCTTTCAAATGCAAACCATATAATCCCTTGGCCATTTGTTCAGGATTTTGTTCCTTATTAAAAACATCTTCCATATTGTCCTATAAAATGCAGCCATGTGCAGAGCCCTTCCAAGTCTCTCAATGGTTAACCATTTCCTTGCTAAGAATCTGGACTTTGGGGCATTTCTGTGATGGGCCTTTGCCTCACTGCAGCCATTCCAGAAACAATGCCAAATACCCCCAGTTCACATTGTCTTTGATGAACCCATTTTGAATATCATCTTCTACATTATTTTCCCACAAAGTCACTGGAAACAGGATGTTGTTTGGTAGCAGAGGAAGTCTGGTTTCCCAACTTGGCCAATTTTCTCATAGTTCAGAAGAAACATCTCCATGGATCTGGCACTTCCCTGCTTCTCAGTTCTAAAGGACCACATGGGACCTGGACCCTGAGAAATAGAGGCACTCAGTCCAAATCACAGCTCCCAAAATCCTCTAAAACTAGCTGGAAGCATCTTTTCTCCTAAGTTTTGAAATCCAGACTGTGTCTCTCTCGGCCAGCTGTCTCCCTGCTTGCCATACTAGTCCTAGCCTTTTTCATCAACTGTTGCCTCCAAATTCATGGGTTTAGGGCCAAGTTCTCAGACTTTAGATATTTCAAAAATGAGTAACGATTTAATGATTTTAGTGAGATCTCAAGAGAACAAATAAGCCATAACTCTTTTTTTTTCTGGCAAGAGCTATGTATAAGCCATCCAAGATACACAAGGATTACGTTGGCTTTTAATCAGTTTGAGGGAAAATTACTTAACAAACTCACTTACAACCCATATCAATGAATAATAATTCTTCGTAAGTAGATATTCTTCTTAAAATTTTACCCAGTTCTCCTATTCTTCCTCTCCATCATCTATGGGGTGATCCATCAAATAATCATTTTAATGTGCTTCATCGTTCCACCTCACCTTCCTCTCTCCAAAATAAATCACCTCCATTCATTTAGTATTTCACAAACCAAATTACTCAATATGCTAATCACTTTCAATGTTAGCTAAATTAATTTTAGACTTAAGATCCACTTGATTTTTGCTACCTCGTGGGGCACTATAACCCCATTCTGTCCAGGGACATAGGGGGGAATCCCAGACCAAAATTAACACTTTCACCTGGTTCTCTGACATATTCTCCATTCCTTGTTCCCTGTACAGTGTGCATTGCTGAAATGCCTCCTCTAAGGGGTCTGAAGAACTGTCTTGGAATGCTGGTAATACCCACATTTCCACATCCCAGAGTTACTGTTACCTGTATCTTTTATTGTCCACAGGCACAATGTCCATTGCTATGTAGTATTGCTGGTGTGGATCTAGGCCAGTGATTTTCACTCTCATGGCAGGAAACATCCTCCTATGAAGAGGAGTAAAACAGAAAGCTCAGAAATCAGAGTGGGAGAAGTAGCAGGGGTAAATGCTTAAAAATGTATTCTTAATAGGTACTCTAGGCATATCAAATTCCAATGTTCTCTAATCCTCAAAGTTGGCTAATTTTTTCCACTTTGGAAATTACCACTATAAAATATACTGGAGACTTACACTACTGAAATGGTATCTCTTCTTAACTTAAATTGACCTATTTGATGATTCATACTATCCAAGGGTTCATATCACACCCTGTTTTGTATTTTTAGTTAATGTTTCTTATGATATATATGTATGCATAGACATGTGTGTGCATGTGTGTAGCCACGCATACATTTCCTATTAGCTATAATCTTTTTAAAGGTAAGTACAGCAACTTGCACTCTTCTTACAATCCAAAGAGCTTTTCAGTTTATTGCAAGTGATCATAAAATATCTTCAACTGAGTTTATTTAAAAACAACCACTCTAAAAATATTCTCTCAAGAAAAAAAAGAAAAAAGGAAGGCGCTGCCAATCTCCAAACAAATAGCCACCAAGATTTTTAATGCATGAAACTGTAGAAAATTTTCTGCAAGTTCTCAGGCTGTCAACGTGTGTGTCAGAGGAAGGCCTCTGTGGAATTGGGAGCAAATACCAAATGAATTCTAGTGGCCTCTGGGAAATACCTTGTTTCTACCACAATGGCTTGTTAAACTTACCAAAAAGCAAGTGAGGTCAGGATACAGCACTTTACAACTTCTCTCATAATTGAAGAGAGGAGGAGACAGAGCAGCCCAAAAGAGGTATTGAGTTTCAACAAGTCTAGAATAAAGTTCACTATTCTTCTTTAACCATAAGAAAGACGAAAAACATCAAGCTCAAGCTCTTTTGTATCAAGCCAGGCATAAAAAGTCCTCAGTTCAAAAATTTGGATTGCTCTGAATGTGCTCTAGGCTACTTGTATACAAAATACTGCATTAAGCTTAACCATCTGGGGCTAGTTAGTTGAGTTGGGCAGAGCACAGTGCTAATGAGGTCAAGGTCACAGGCTTGATCCACATATGGCCTAATTGGCTTTGCTCCATTTCATGGCCATAGACCATATCCTGACCTCAGACAGCCATCTTGCAAATATGCACTGGTTGGTCACAGGAGAGGCTCTCTGTGCTAGTTACACACTTACCACTCATCCAGGGAAAGCAGCCCAAAGGGCTAACATCCCCTGGCAATAGGTCAGTAACATTATAATCATATCTGAGGGAAAGCACAAGAGGGATCACGGTCCTTTAATAGAAATGGTGGCTAATTCTTAAATAGTTAAAAAATTAATACATACATAACTATTTCATCTTTCTCCACCGTATTACTCTTCAGAAGCTTCTGTGAGTATCTCATTTAAAATTTTCTCCCCCTACCATCACAATGTTTATGTAAAAGCCTCATACTTTTGCCTTATGGTGGGCTAATTAAATCTGATGATGGAATACTCATACTGACTAAATCTAACATTCACTATAGGTTAGACGCTTTAATTCACATTAATTCTTTCCAAAAATTTGGGAAACTCGATCTACACATTTAAATACAGATCAGTAATTCCCTTTTTAATAACACTGATTTATAGCTTTCCTGTATATGTAAATGTTTGAAGGGCATCTTGCCAGAGATGTGGCAAACGTCCTCTCACTTACTGAGATAAGAAAATATGGTTCTCCCCAGTCACCTACAGAGCCTGTATTACATGAATGAGACAGATTTCTTTTCTTCATAACTTTACAAAAACAGGGTTAGGTGTTTTAATTCAACATCTGTTTTGTCTGGAACAGCTATATGACCTTGAATGGAGAAGCTACCGATCTCTATAGACTTCTTTTCTTCATGACTTTACAAAAAAAGGAGTTAGATGTTTTAAATTCAATATCTGTTTTGTCTGGAACAGTTATATGACCTTGAATGGAGAAGCTACCTGTCTCTTTCCAGGACCCAACTTCTAAAATGAATGAACAATGTGACTTTGGATAAGCCATTTAACTTCATCACCTATAAAGCAAAGGAAACAGGCTACATATTCTTCTACAGTGCCCTCTTGCTTTAAAATTCTATGACTACCTTTGAATTCTGTTCTTAAAAATTTTGCATTTTTTTTTGTCTGCATTTTAGCATAGACTATCAAGTGAAGCCACAAAATTCTAAAGAAAACTTAACCTTTCATGTTTCACAAAAAGAGATATGTTTGGTTTTAATTTTATGGCTAAATTTAGGCCAGTTCTTTTGTCTTCTAAACCCGTTAATCCTTGCAAGCACCTCTGTCCATGGTGCTGATTATGCAGGTTGGGTTGGTATACTCAAAGATTGAGGGCTCTGTAGATTTCAGTAGTTCTGAATCAATAGGATTACATTTTAGCAGGTGGGGGGAGGTAGATGGTGACTAACATCATCTAAAAGAAAAGAAAGCCATATATAACTAACATAACTAAGAAGATGGAGATTGGAATTAAAACGGAAAAGGATACTGACAATACTGTCTAGGAAGAAAAATGAGTGAGAAGCAAGAAATCAACCAGGAGAATGAGGAGGAATAAAGAAAATTCACAGATGAGAAAGCCTTATATGTATGTTTCTGAGTTGCTTCAGAATTATCTGAGGAGAATGATAGTAACAACAGTTGAAGCAACTGAATACAGAACTAATTGAAACCCTAAACAAAGGATTTCAATTACTACTAAAGAACAAACTATGTGTTTGTCTTGAGGCATATGTAGATTTATCCAGATATTAAGGTGGATTTGTGAAATCATAGATGTGTAAATGAAAATACTGCAGAAGAAATTACAAAATGAGTCACAAGAAGGTTGTCAAGGAGATGCTCAAATGAACTCAATTCACTGAAGCACAGGGAATAAGGGAGTGATATCAGGAACAAACATGACTATAATACACAGACCCAGGAGTAATAAAGTAAAAACCCCAGAATGAAACTGGAAAATCTTATAAACAATTGTAATATTTTTCCTTTCTCCAAACCAACTCTTCTACCAAAAACAAAACAAACAAAAAGATTCCTTGAGTTACTTTGTTTTTTTCCCAAGCCTTCACACCCCAAAATGTGGAACAGAAGTACACTGAGACCCAAGCAACAAAAAAGAGATGGTACTGGACATAATTATCTAGCCCAGCTGCTGCCCCTGGGAAGTCTTTAGTGGTTTTATTCACTACTGACAGAAGGAATAGAGTTCCAGAAGAGAAAGAAAATAAACAAAATTTCAGGTTTATTTTGACTTCATGTTTTTGTCATATCTTATTGTATTTGGAGGTTTCCTTATATGCACATAGGTAAAGTGTACTCAATCAAAATGTCATTTTACTTTAAATGGCTAAGTTCATGAAAACAGCTCATGATCAGTAAGATGGGATCCCCATGACATGTGAGATTATGTACAATGGCCTTGAAAATACAAAAGTAGCATAACTGTTTTGCTTAATTTCAATGAACTATTTCTATATGCTGAAATGCTTAGTCCAAATTTATTTATTTATTTTTATTTTTGAGATGGAGTCTCACTCTGTCACCCAGGCTGGAATGCAGTGGCGCGATCTCAGCTCACTGCAACCTCTGCCTTTTGGCTTCAAGCAATTCTCCTGTCTCCACCTCCCAAGTAGCTGGGATTACAGGCACATGCCACCATGCCTGGCTAATTTTTGTATTTTTAGTAGATATGGAGTTTCGGCATGTTGGCCAGGCTGGTCTCGAACTCCTGGCCTCAGGTGATCCACCCTCCTCGGCCTCCCAAAGTGCTGGGATTACAGGCATGAGCCACCGCGCCCAGCCCAAATTTAATTGTATCTAAATCGTTTCATTTTGAATCCAAGGGGCTAACTACAGCCATTTCTTAACAGTTCAAAGTTGAGACCACTGTTTTAGAGCCGCTTAGATTTATACAGAATTCTGGAGCTGCCTCTTAGTACCCATGTCCCTCAGCCAAGCTAACTAATGTCTTTCATCCTCTGCATCCTAATCCATGTATGGAATGATTATGTCCAACCTCATGGGATTCCAGTAAACTTCCAAAGACGTATGTTGAGTGTCCAGCATAAAATAGATACTTAACTATGGAGAGCTGAAACATAGCAATAAAGGAGTAGCTTAACTAAAAGTGTCTACTTTAAGAAAAACTGTGTTTTTAAAACTTTGTAATCCTAGAAAAACAGTTTTGCAAGAAATTCCATAGGTTACCATTAAAGTTGTGTAATAATTTCAAGCCAGTGATGAAACACAATGGACTGTCAACAGGGCTCAGAATATGCAACAAGCCAATTCTTTTAAAAAATTATTACGAAAGCATTGTTGCTTGAAATACTTTAGAAGATGCAAGTTGTTATTAGAGAAGCAAAATTCTTGGAAGTATTTAATTGTGAAGTAAACGCTTGCTTTGGAAATATACATATTGGCTCTTAAGATACCATGGATTTCTAGTACTAGCTGAAATACACTTGTAGGTAGAAAATGTTTATGATTTACATGATTTACATTTGATTGGCCCTTGGAGGAAAATAACACAGTCACAGCAAACACAACAGAACCACTTTACCAAGATGTCCAAATGCAAAAAAGTGAGTGCAAGCTGCTTTGGTTTCATTGATACCATCACAAATAAATAAGAATGGAAGAATGTAATGGTTCCTACTTCTGCAGATTCTTTAAATCTGACCACTCAAAGGAATTTGTCCTTACCTGCCTGCTTTGGTGATAATCATTTCAGTTCCAATATCATGGAACCGCTTCCAGAGGTCAGCACATTGAAGCTCTACTTGAATCTCCTCCATGGAAGACATGGCAGCAGGCACAGGGCCTGCAGCGCCAGAGGCCAGGTCAGTGTGAGTGCTGAAGGAGCAGGAAGTCCGCTCAGTGAGCACCTCAGAGTCTGAACCAGTGCTCTGCTCGGAATCTGCAAAATAAACAATCAAGCCTTAGGTGAGAAACTGCTGAGCTCCCCTCACCCCTGGCCCTAAAAGATGGGGGTGGGGAATGCAGTGAAGTGGGGAGAGGGGTGAACAAAAGGAGACTTAAAGCTGGGAAGCTCCAGAGCACAGCACTCAGGGTATTTTATTATTTTTTATGGTTTGTTTTTGTGATTTATGACCTTCTTTCAGGTTTCATGTTTCCAACATGACATCTGGCATTTTAGTAAGTTTTAGCAACAGCTGAAGAAAATTGGTCCACAACAGGCAATATAAATAGTACTAATGTCACCATGTGGAAGGGAATGAGGCCAAACTGGGGCAACAAAATAAATGCCAAATTAAACTAAAATAATTATAGGTTATAGGTCCAAACCTAGATTTGACTATCTCATTTGTGTGAGTAAAGATTCAGTGCTAACAATATGTTCTTCAGTTCCATACCACTCAGCATCACTGCCTGTCAGTTATTTTTAAACACAGAAATTTTTCCTCTACTTACATAAGTCATGGCCATGAAAAGTAATGAAAAGCTGCTTGGGATCTTTAGAAGTATTTTGTCATATATTTGAGTAAATGGTTTTTCCTAGGAGTCTAATCAGGGCATTTCAGATGGGAAAAAAACCTCTGTTGTGAGGCGAGGATGTAAGCATATGGAAAAAGTTACCCAAAAAGGCAGTTGAAACAAAGGGAGTAAATGAGTTCAGGAGACACCTTGATTGGTTTCTGAAGTATGGGCAGAGGGGAGGGGTGATCCAAACAGGAAGGTGGGATTGAGAGCAACCAAATAAAAAGTTGGCGTGCTGGGCCAGATGGTCCTTTCCTGTGTCTTCTGTACTAGTGAAGAGAAGTGGGGCTGAGGGGGCAGGGTAAGCCAACTGATGGAGAAGGCTAGGGCCAGATACATCAGGGAAGATTTTCTGGAATTTTAAACATTTACCTTTAGGAGCTTCATGCCAAGAATTGTGTGTCCTAAAATTTTTCAAATTCAGATAATCTAGTGTAATCTCCTAAAATCAAATGACACTGCAGGTCAAGCCTAAGAATCCATTTCTCTAACCTACCCTTAACATCCAGAATTCTGATTGCTTTCCTTGAAGATAAATACATACATGAGTAAAGGCTGGAAACAAGTGTTTTACTCTGACAAGTGACTTTTCATTGCTGTCAAGGGTCAGAGCTTCTTGAGCATCAGTCCTTGGCACTAGTAAGATGGAAAAAGAATGAGACAGAATGCCAAATCACCTTGCTGCCAACCTCACTTACCTGCAGCAGGTTTGCAGCCCTGTGATCAATACATCCCACGTTTCCTTTACTTTTCTTTCCCTTGGTCACTGACTTTTTTCTCTTGCAACCCAGGCAGCATCTCTGGCAAGAATATCTAACAGCTGTTTCAAAGCCACAGAAAACAAAGTGCCCACAGGGGAAAAAGTGTCATTTTTCTACATCTTCCCAATTCCTCACCAGTTGCTTGTGAAGATACTCAGGTGCTGAAGAACCGAACCAAACTTCTAAATAAAGGGCAAGTTTCTGACCAAAAACTTCAGTTTACCCATTAACACTACTTTAGTCACTATTTTCATTTCCCCTCCCCCTCTGCATTCCCCACCACCACCAAATAAAACAACTATAAAGTTTTATAACTAGGTTTTACATGTCTATGCACATAATTTTATACCTAGGACTGAGCAGCAGCTATTTTTGGTCTTCTCCAAGCACTGAAAAGTAGAAGTACTTATCTAAGATGAGAGCTGTTGCTGAGTGACAAATCTATATCCTAGCCTGATTCTATATGCCTTTCAGTAGCAGAGTCATTATATCATCACACACTCAATCAAATACGCTAATTCATGTCCCCTGAGACATGGATTCCCAAATCCTATTTTGTTTCTGGGATATTCTAAGAGCTCCTCACTTACGATGGATATTGTAAATTTTTCAAAAAACTCCTCAAAACAAGATTTCTAAAATATATTATTGTCCTGCCTTTGGAAGCAAAGAGTTATGAAATCCACCATAAAGTGCCACAATTATAAAAAATTGGAAACAGACACCCTAAGTAGGATCCAGCAGAAATTTTGGACATATGATTTCTCCAATGTATGTTTAGGGAGGGGAAAGAGGAAGGAAAGGTATCACTACACTATGAGATAAATATTTAATGGTAGCTAAATTGAGGTTGAGATTGGAATTGGGACTATGGCTGGAGAATTATGAAATAAGTGACTCTACCCTTAACTCACTATGTCATCTAGACAAAACAGGGGCTCAAATATAACATCAAATGGATTAATGAATAACCTTAGACAAGCCATTTAACCACAGGGGCCTATGTCCTCAATGTGCAAGGAGAAAGAATGAACTTAAGGATTCTACCTCTAATGACCTGAATGTAAGAATCCTCCCCAGTACAAGTGATAACCCAGGTAACCAATTAGAAGCATCAAATTTAAAACTCTTTGAACAAGGCAAGTTAAATAAGGAAAAAGACTGGGGGCTCAGATTCACATTACCATAGGAGTTAAATAATTGAGTGAGTATTCTATAAGGGTTTATAGTTTCAATCAAATCAATCAATAAGCACCTATCAGCATATGTCCTTAGATGAAGTACCATGCAGATAATTAGAAACAGAATCCAAGACCTTAAGAAGTTTCCCCGTTAGTGTTGATTAATTATGTGTTTATTGAGTGCTTACTATGTGCCCAGCACTGTGCTAGATTCTGGGAAAATAACAAAGTACATAATGGGACCCCTCTTTCAGTGCAGTACAGTGGAGACTAGGAGCATTCAGAAATAATCAGAGAGCAACACAAATAATTGCCACACAGTTTTCCACACCATTACATATTGTCTCGGATGACTCTTAAAAGTCCAGAAATGAAAGAGATCTAAGAGGGCTAGAACACTCCTGGGGAACCCATGGTTACTAGAAAAGAAATGGACAAGTCTGTGGAGGCATAGGCAGTATTTGTCCATGAAGAGGATTTTCGAATACAGTTATTTATTTAACTGGAAATACCCTGAACTTCTAGATTTTCACTCTCTCACAAAATAGGATCCAGTGACTTTTATATACAGAATATAGGCAACAGCCCACATGTGCACTAACATGAATGCACCATGCAATCTTCTATTCTCAATTATTTCTTAAATATTATAATCTTGAAATAAAATTACTGTTACTTTTATATAGGTTTTTTTTTAAAAGCTTCTAGAAGTGTTAGGAGCACCTATGAGGTAAGCTACCCTACAACACCCTTAAAATAGATATCTCAGAGTCAAGATTAACAGTCTAGGTAAAAATAAAATTTAATCCTTTGTAAAACATGTTTTTAAATCATATTTATAGAAAATATTTTGGCTAACCAGATCAAAATATTTAGCTATTAATTATGATGTATAATCAAGTTATCTAAGTCATGAAAGAAACACAGCTGGTTATTTTAATAAAATCGGATCATCCATTTAGAAATACAATCAGTCAGTCCCTTAAAGATCAAAAAAACACCTCTGTGTTTTCAAGTTCATTTATTCTTGGCAATTTGTGACTTTCTGTCTTCAAAAAATAAGCGTTAGAAACTCATATGAATGATGCAGAAGGATTTCTTAGCTATCACATACTGTCAGAATAGTATTTCAACAGAAGGAGTTTAAGTAAATCAAGAACATAAAATGTTACACATAACCAAGGCAGCTAAAGGAGAAAACTTAGGTAACCTGTGCTGAGCCAGTTACAAGTCACTGGAGAACATAGTGTACACAGGGCCAAGGCAACATATCTATTCTCATCCCAAAGAAAATCCTTTAAAAAGATTTTAACTGTAATTTTACTTTCTATCTCTGACCTATTTCACTTTGATAAAATGAATACTGTAATACTAAGTTTCTACAGAAAGTTGAGTTTAGCTTAAAGTAAGTTCAATTCTCACACTAGAAATAACAATAAAATAATTTCTTAATTTATATTTCACACATTACCTAATATTGTCTTCCTGTTGATAAGGTAGACATAGCATGTATTTTTATGTCTATTTTGTGGATAAGGACATTGAAACAAGAGGAATTGAAAACTAACGCATACTAGAATGTAGGTCTTCTGCCTCCGGATCCAATGGTCAGGTCTCCCCAAAAGCATACTAGGTTCAACCCAGCCAAAATAGCTGACAATTCTGCAACACCCCTTAACTATTTTAACCATCCTCACAACTAAAGTGACCTAAATATGTTTGATCTTGGCCAAGTCACATGACTATTCTGGTCCCCAATTTCCTTAATCTTTACAGCACAGTACATGCACATTTAATTAGAAGTGCTGTAAAGTTCCTTTTAACTCAAATGTTTAATGGGTGGATTAGTACCACAGCTTAGAGACCACCAAGTCTAACAAAAGCAAACCAACTACAATAAATTTATTTGGTTATCATACACAGAAAATGCCTAAATTGCATATACTTTTATCCTAATAAAAACTTAATATCAAAATTAAGCATTCTGAAAGTATATTTTACAGGTCTGGCATCTCCACTTAACAGTTAATTTTGAGGAATTATTCATTACTACAGTAAACAAAGCACATTTATTCCTGTGGCTCTGCTACTGATCAGCAGTGGGATCATCAAAAGTTTCTTTGATTCACTTGGCCTCAGTTTCCTTATCTTTACTATGGGGTGATAATAAGGTATCATTCTGTTCAAAAACAAAGTTATATCTTTATGATAAGTCATAATGTAAATTGATAATAGTATTGACTTTGGACAATAAGATGAATATAAGCTCACAAGAACCATCACAAAGAGTTAATGGTCAACATTATAGCTGAGCTCTTAATATTTGTCAGGCACTCTGCCAAGGCTGTACATGTAAAACATCATTTAGTACAGGCAAGCCTAAGTGTTGTTATTAGTACTATCTCCATTTTATAAATTATTGATGACAGAGACCAGGTTACATCCATTCTACTACCTAAGGATTTCTGGCACATAAG